CATCAGGTGCTGCACCGCACCAGCGCATCGAGGTGCGGGTGTGGCTACTGGCCTATGCTTCTCTCGCTATGGCTGCATCTAGCAACAAACACGTAACGTCCCGCCTCTTGGGCTGTGGGTGGAGGTGTGCTGCGTCTTGTTTCTCGTGTGTCTAAGGTATGGACGAACAGGTTGCCCGTCGCTCTCGCTCCATGACTGCTCCTCGCTCGGGCTCGGCCTTCCGCTTGCAAAGTCGAGTCGAGCGCAGCCATCATCGACGAATGACTGGCCGCAGCAGCTCCAAGCTGTGCAGCAATGCCAGCGAGAGACTGGGGGTGTGCAGGGGGAGGCGGGGGAACAGAGTGCCCGGGAGAGCTGCAAGAATGCACGCCGCTGCTAAAGCACCGCTCCGGCTTAGGTTTGTTCCCGCTGCACCTCAGAGGACAGACGAGCACTAAACTCGCTGAGCGGAAGAATGGACAGCCTCAGAGCCTGGGATGACCTGCATGAGGGACTCGGCCATGCAATGCACACACAGTTGGAGGTCATGGCCGGTTGTGTTTGGCTGTGTCATGTTCCTCGAACTCTGATCGTGGCGTCTTCATTGGATGGGGACGGAAGTGCTGTGCCCGTGGGAACTGTCCCAACCGCCCAACAAAAAAAGGCAAAATACCACCGACAACAAGCACCACGACGACGGGCACGACAGGGGATGGGTGGGAGCCTCTGCTTCTAGAATGCACGGATGACCCGGCGGCATGTCCGCAAGGCGTTTCCTCTCTTGCGGGCCGACGAATGACGAGTGGAGGATGCAAGGGTTCCGCTGGGAGGCGGATGATGCCAGATGGATCGGGATGAAATGAGTGACGGAGGATGGTCGGAGGATGGAGCTTGGTGGAAGAAAACAGGCAGGTAGGAAAAAAGAGACATGGCAAAAAAGCGAGTTGTGGAAAATGGCATGGCTTACCTGGAGAGGCCGAGGCGATTGGCGCGAAGCGGTGCCGGTATTCCGGGACTGGGCGTCAGAGGTGGAACGCGAGGACTTGGCCTTGGGGTCTTGGAAGGCGGTAAGACGGCGGAGAGTCTGGGCAGAAAGCGGCGGGACGGAAACACGCTGGCACGCTGGGTGTCGAGGGCGGGCGGGCGAGTGTGAGCGTCTATTACACCGAAAACGTATCCTCCGCGTATCGGGCAGGTAATATCCAAGAGACGGGGTCGAATTCGGTTTCTTGTTGACGAATGATAGAACCAAGATGACGAAAGGCTCGGTGAAAAGGGTCCTGAGTGTTCTCCACTGAACAAGCGCGCGGTAGGGAATGGGCTGTTTTGTTTTGTGGGCGAACCGGCTTCTGAGCGGAAGAAGCAAAGAGTCAAGAGATGCTGCGACGTCGATGCTGAAACGGCTTTGCGGGGGTCGATGAGGCAATCGTGGAATGGGCGAGCCGTAAGCCGTGTGGGAAGGTTGAAGAGATGGCAGGAGCAAGACGGAAAGGTTCGTAGGAGCAGGGGCGGTCGTGGTTATGAGTGAGCGTCGTTGGTCGTTATTATTGCTCGTCGATGATCGTGCTCATGGTGTGGTCTTTGGGCGTGGATGATGTGGGCTATGATAGTCGGTTGACGTTGCGTTGGTTATGCTGGAAGTGGAGGCGAGTGATGACATTCAGGTGGACAAGGCCACAAACACGGGTAGCGGCAACCCGGTTCGTTTATATCATGAGAGGGCACGACAGACGTGTGAAAGCGAGCGAGGGAGAGAATGCCGCGGCCAGCAGGATACGGACAGGATAGGATAGGATACCTGCGTTGATCACCGGGTAGCATCTGGCATCTCTGGGTCCGCAAGGTCAACCCGGCCGGTCGGTCATATCCGCAGATGGCTGGCAGGTACTTGTCCAAAGGGGGCAGAAAGGTGTGCCCGTGTGGTACCTTTTTTAGCCTCTGTAATAAAGGTACCCAACGCGCCTTCCAATTTACCTATCTGGTGGAAGTGTTTGCTCAACAACACTATCTTCATTACTAACCAAGTAAGGTCCAAGTCTAAAGCAACAGATCGCAATATGGCAGGTGGCCGGCAATCGTCCGTGACAGTGCAGTCCCTGTTTGGCTTGGAGACCTCCCGTAGCAAGCCAAACCCATCTCTGACTGGCCCAGCGATGTGCTACTGCTGGCGTTAGGGAGTCACTACTCATGTCCCCCAGAAACCTGCCCAAAGAGAGTAACGATTCGCCCTCCTGCCCTTTGATGATTCGACCAAGTTCCAACAACCCCAGACCTCGTCAGGCACTGCAAGCGAAAACACCCGTCGTCCATCGTCACCTCGCTTTCTTTAGCGTTCCGATGATCCAACGGCAGCTGGCAGAGGCACTGGCACTCACCACTCACGCACTGCAGCGCTGCAACACCACTGTTGGCAGTCTGTCAACCTGTCTCGCTTATCCTTCTCCTTACTGGCCCGGTGTGGCAACATATGTCGCAGCAGACCTACCAGACGACGCTGACTGCAGACAGGTTTTCTGACGAGTTTCCCATCGCTGCCAGCAACATCGGCATCCACGTTGACGGGCTGATTGGCTTCCGGGCGCCTAGCCCTATTCCCCAAACTGCCTGCAGTAGCACCTCCAGGGTAGCAGCAGCCACACGGGGTATCCGCGCTACCTAAGCTAAATCCAACTATGCTTCTTCTGTGCCCTTCTTCGCTGGCCGATACCGCCCCCGATCTCTGCGTCTTTTAATCTAATAAGGCTAAAGAAGGGCTGTACACCGAGCCTATTGCGGTAAAACGAGCCGGTGAGCAATTTGAACAAAACTAAATGAAAATGCTTCACCAAAACACCTCAGGGACCCGCGGTCTCCAGCACTCGTCCAGCGTCCTCGGGCCCCTAAGAGACCCACTATCCGTACTACGGGCCCTCTGCGCCTGCCTCTCCCAGCTGGACTCTGAGCCTCTCTGACCTCCCCTGCCCCCTGTCCCCTGCTCCTTACCTCATTCAGTAATCGACACCAGGGCAACATCCAGTCCCGGATCAGGTAGCAGCGAGAACTGAGGGGCTCACCGCTGCCCGCAGGACCCTGACGACCTGACTGACCTCAGTGTCCTCCGGTCCCCTCACCCGCCCTGACGACACCGAGCAGCTGCGCCTTGTCCCTGATTGGCTGAGACCAGCGCCCGCCACACTAAAGCGGGTCCGAAAGAACCCCGACGATTGTCCCATTGGCCACCGCGATGAGCTAGGCCAAGACCAGCCACAGCGCTCGCGTTACGCGGCCCCCGTGAATCTTTTCCATCATTCTTCTTTCGATGACCATTCACGCCGCCACTGTCACCATGTTGAAGCTTGCCAGCGCAAGCTGAAAAACCTGCTCCACAACCCCGTCGACGCGCCGAACGGCAGTACGGCAACCCCGACCCCGGTCCCACTGAAAAACCTCCGTCTCGCATTTTGAGTTGCTCCTCCGTCGGTACCTTGCTGCCGACTGATTTGAAGCCTGTCCCTGGGGGGCGGGGGAGAGAAAAAGACTGAAAAACAGGAAAACCTGCCACCCCAAGCGTGACAAGACGCTACTGATCCGAACTCCGGCAGATGGAATGTTTCTGAAGAGTTCAGCATACCACGCTGAAGTCAGACGTGGATCACTCCTCTGGATTTGGGTGAATGGGTATGATCACTCACCAAATTGCTGGGTCTGGCAGGAACGCAGTTCCGTTCCCAGCCTAAAGTTTGGCTTTTTGGGTACAATATTCTTGTCTAACCTCTGGCACGAGGATCCACCACCGTCAACGATCGCATCCAAATCTGTGATATCAAATAAACCTCTGCGTACCTTAGTCTGTCATGCTGTGGCTTTTCCCTCAGCTGGCTTGGTCCTGGTCTGGACCGCTGCCCTCAGCGCTAATCCTCGGGAGAGGCACCTCTCCGGGTCGCGGCACATCGGCGCCATGGCCTCAAGCCTCCAACGTCTCTGCTACTGCGGCTGCTGCCTTGTGAAAGAAAAAGCAGCAAGCTCCGTTGGCTTAGCCTCACAGGACTTGACACTGATGCAGCTTGGTTCGGGCTGATATTTGGAATGGACGAGCGCTCGTCTTGTCTGTCTGCCAATAGCTCTCTCGCTCGGATTGTTCACGTGCCGAAATGACAGACGGTTGAAAGAGTTCAAGCTCGTGCCTAATGTTTGGCCAGTTCATTTGACTGCCATGACACCACGGCATCTTCCGGTAGGTGAAAGACCTCGACCTGTTGCTAGACTAGTTACGAGGGACGTTATCAAAAGTCATGCACCTAAATTCAAGGGAACCTCAAGCTCTGTACCAATGTTTTGTGTGAGCTTCTTTGCCGTGCCTTTTTTTCGGGCGGCTATCTTTGCTGCGACATTCGCAACCAAGTCTGAAATTTCGTGGTTCTCTTCCACGCGACTCTCTGTGCAAATTGTGTCCTCCCTAGGACCCGGCGCATTGGTCCAGTGGCCCTATCATGCATAGGGAACTCGCCCCATCCGAATAAGAAGATCTATGTAGTAGAGTCCTCGAATTGAGGCTTGACTTGTTGAAAATCGGGAGCAGCTCCCCATATGCAGTGCAAGTTTGGCTTTCGTCATGCCAGTCCTTACAGCACCATGAACAGAACCTCTGTCCACAACTATTACAGATTCTAAGTTGCCTCGATGGCAATGATCGAAGCTTACAGATCCGAAATTCTTCTCCGCAACTTTCCCGAGGACACCTCTCTTGCACCCATCCCCAGATCTGGTTCACTTTGTCCTTAAGCTCGTCGTCGATAGGGAGTCTTTTGCGCGACCACATAGTATTTCCTGTGCAACACTTAGGGCTGGAAAAGGGATATCGAGTACTCGCCTCCATCTTCGATTGTACGCACTTGCTGCACAACCAATCACCGCAGCTTTCGGTATAAAGCGCTTTCTCATCATCAACGTGTGATTTACAGTTCCTACACATGCGTTTCCGTGATGAAGACTCGCATGACAGCTCCTTCTGTTCAATCTTGGCAGCTTTCTTGTCTTGCGAGTTACTAGTCGGTTCAGTGGCTGCAAATTGGGTGGTCGCCTTGCTTCCTTTTTTCGTGTTGCCTTCGCCATCAGGTTCTCGGATTTCGTCTCCACAAACGGACTGGGCACAGACTGTAAGACCTTCGAGATACTCTTCGATAAGAATGTTTTTGCGCTTGGTATTGCTGTCTTCTGGTTGATGTGAGACTCGAAGCCGTTGAATTTCTTCCAGTATCTTCTCCGTATTATCCTTGATGCTCGGGATGAACTGCGTTCGGTTTCGAATGGCTTCAGTGTCTGCTTTGATGCTTCTAGCAACAAATCTAGACAGAATGCCTGTCAGCGCGTGGGTTGGGAAAATCGTATTTGAGGCCTACACTTACAACGTGATCGTCTCGACAGTCAAGCTTAGCGACTCACGGTATGTTGTCAACTCTCTCGTCAAAGCCTCGACCTCCTTTTTCTCTTTAGTAGCCCATGCAATAGCCCCGGACGGCGCTTTGCATCGCTTCAATACGTTCTTGATATCCCTTACGACGCTGTTACATCTCTTGACGATCCGGTCGATCTGCGCCTGGAACGAACTCGGCAGCGCATCGCCCTGACCGTCGTCCTTTAGTAGCTCGAGTATGAGTTGGAGGTCGGCCAACTCGCGTGCGACACTCGTGAGGTCGCCTCTAGCGGCTCGACAATCGCGGATGAAGGACGTTATGGCCTTGATTGTCGCTCCCGCTGCGGTTATGAGGCCTACGCAGCCTGTGACGATGGAAAATGGGTCCGCCATGATTATGTCCAAGGGAAAACATTCCCGAGCTGATCAGGCTGTAGACTCCATGGATATCATGAATGACCATGGAGGGGCAGTGTCGCGCGCATTTGACCGCCCAATGAGAGGGATGGCTGGGCCACAAATATGCATGCACTTTGGGCGTCCTGCAGCCTGCTGCTGACGGGTTGCCGATGCCTGCTTGGCATAGTCTACCAAAGTCCACGAGAACTTGTAGTAACATTGAAACTTCTTACAAACTAGTGGTACCGACGCCGTAAGGTCTCTACATAAAAGCCAGCTTCGCAGGCCTGGATCAATCTCCGAAAACCAATGCCACCAACAGTAGTGGTCGAGGACTAAATCCCACGAATGGTTAGCCTGACTTGCAGTCTGAAGGGAGCTGATGAGCAATGCGCACATGCTTCATTTCACAGTCCGATCTAAGGAACATCCTACTCTCTGTCGTCCGGGACTTGTGGTGCATTTGCTCAGTTTATTCATGATTATCTCAACGAAACATTTCACTCGCAACATTCAGCTGATGGGACTTCCAAGCTCGCCAGACTTGGGCGGCACAAGATAGATTCATTGTGGCTCCTGCGGTTGTCACAGAACGGTTCTGGAGACAGCAGTTTCTTTTTGCTTGACTGAACCACGTAGGCAAAGGTACTACCTAAGGACCGATAGCCTTCGATCGAACCATAAATGAGTCATCGGCGTTGTGGGTTGAGAACTCTTGATCACGTAGCTGGATGTCGCGCATGTATAAAAGAAGCGTTCTTTTTGAAGTCATTGAAATTTTAACACAAGATATGTTTCCGTGAGAATCTCGAGACTTAAATTGCTTGCAGTTACGATGGATAATGCTTTGTGATGAAAATTTTGTATAAAACGGCCGTAAAGTGAGCTACAGCCGTGCATAATGAACCAGCTTCTATCATCTCTATCTATTAATGCGGGGATATTCGTTTAGTCGATTAATTCGAGTGCTACAAGATGAATTTGGGAAGAGAAACAAGGCAGCGCTATAAAGAGACCTGTCGTAGGCAATACGAAAATCGAGTTGCTGTAACTTTTCCTCGTCAGCCAAGTATAGGGGATATGGAAGGAGATGGCGTGTCTGCCGCAGAGCAAAGCTATCAGAAGCGGCGAACAAGAGTAAAACAATCCTCTGTATTATTAACACTGGTAGTCCTTATACATAGACACAGTAACAAACCTGAAATGAGCATATCGAGGGAACCGTTCGTAAGACAATCCCCAATGTGTCTGGTGAACACGTCTCACAAGCGTCTTGGGCGTATCATGCTCAATGTAGGACCCGGTCGTCACTTTGAGGCTGCCTTGAAGCCTAAACATCAAAGGTGCGGTAGCAATTGCGCTGGTATTTCATGTTCTTGAGCTGTCCATCCCAGGAAGGCCAACCGCGCAAACGGCATGTCGATATTGGTCATGCTTCGCACAGAGATAATTAATTACACGGAGAACCGGCGCTCGAAGAACGTCGCCCGATGATTTCATTGCTCCTTCAGTGTCGTTCTGCATTTCATTGACCCTCTGTGGTCCTGCACCCTTAGACTCCCGCGTGTGTTCGCCTCTTGTGATGCCCACTACGCCCAGAGATCTTCAAGATGACGCTGGGAATGGGACCAACGTTCTGGCAAGCTAACTGGCAGGAGGAGAGTCAGTCGTCAGCGCTCTAATATGCGAAGCACTTAGGGATGCTGCTTCTCAGGTGCCCTCGAATAAACTGTCAGAAGAACATGGATTGCCATGAAGAAACTATAATTAATGCATGAAATATTGTTGCTTTTATAACTCCGGGCGGAGGGCGACTGCAGAAAGAAAACGGCAAAAAATGGTCTGCCTCACTTCTCAGTGGTCCCAAGCTATAAATTTACCGTCAGTACCGGCGTTCAATTTCTTCAACATAATCAATTCGTCCTTCTGTGTATTAAGCCTAGAGTGCTAGAGTTAAGAACGGCGAGAAATGATCAACCCATCCCCGTCAGCTTGTGATCTACACAAGCTGAATCCTCCCACCACAACCTTCAGTTTTGAGCAATTTCATTCCTACTTTATCAGCAGACTAAGACGTCGAATAAACGAAAGGCAGCAAGGATATCCAGAACCATCCACACGATGGGCCGACATGAGCTCTGAGTCAGCAGCTAAGAGATCTTCAGACTGAGGCATAAGATGCTTATTGCGGAGAATTAGAGGCCGTCTGCTCTCCATAGACAAGAACACCGCATTGCGTTTGTCATTCTTACAATTCTGAGCTCGTATACCATTTTATACAGAAAACACGAAGCCGGAAGAACCAACGACTACTTAACCTTCGGGCGTGTTCTCTTGATATTGATTCCTGGGCTTTCGCGGGATGTAGGCAATGCTAAAGGCTGCTCGCCTTGACACAGCAGTCAAGATGGGCCTAGGAACGTTCAATCAGCAGAAGAGAACTAACCTACATCGAGCTCATCTAAGCCAGCCATATCAACATTGTCAGTCAACAAGTTTGGTTGGTAGCCAGGCCAGTTGAAATTCAGAGTTGATGAGGTGGTTTGGGGCCACAACACAGATGGATGAAGGTGTCGGGTAGTCTTTCGACTTGAGACTGTAAAGATGGTTCGCTTCCAGTTGGGGCTGTGTGTGTATATATTTGAAGTTCCCAAGGAGAGGTTAGATCTGTCAAATGGATTCGCATCTTGGATTTGAATCCCCAGCTTGGCTGTGTGTGTGTGTGTCCGTGATAGAGCCGATTCTCGCGCACTGAAGCTTCATGGGAGCCATGTGAAACATGCTTTTACATTCGTCGAACGAGGTTTCTGTTGTCGTCGAGCTGTTCAGAGAGGAATACATCAAAACAGCCGCAACCGGAGAGAGTTGTGCTGATGACGCCGAGCCATATGCCTCGGTGGACAGCAAGCCTCGCTGAACGATGAAAACATGAAATACTCTCAATCGTCGATGCCGTTTTTTTTATTGTTGTAGAGAGATGTCATCTTACCTGACTGAGCCTGCTTTTAAAAGACTCTGCTTTCTCCTGACTAGCTGGATTCCGAGGCTTCAAGACCAAAACCACAAATAGCATCTTGAACCTAGGCTGGTTTGATAAATACGGGCTACTGGGTCATTAAAATGCTTGGTCAAGGCAAAATGGTGTAGCTTCACATACCTTGGTTCACCGGTTCACCAAAACAGATGAGAACCGTCTCAATCAAGTCGCGTGAAATATTGGGTTCGGAGCTCAAAATGATAGGCTGTTGTTGCTGAATACCACAGCCAAATAGTCCTGAAGCCACCGGAAGCCAGGGCAGACGACGAAATTGGCTACTAATGAAGTATTGCTAAGTTAGGGAGAGAAATGTGCCGTTGAAGCACGTAGCCGTTGCAGATGTAGACTGGTGGCATTAGCCAATGATGCTGAAGCTTCTGGAAACTAACAGAGATGGACAATCTCAAAATTTGACTCCGCCTTCCTCAGCTCTTGGGGGAGTAGAGTTTTATAAGCCAGCGAGGGCTGTCTCCCCGTAAACAACGATGCTTCCGATATGTGCTTGGTGTGACTGAAAGTGTACATACATGTCCTTGAAACCATCTGCGAAGAATTCTCAGCCACCGAACAATGAAGTACTTTGCAAAGGGCTGGAACATGTCCATCATGTTCGTCGGCGCTACCTCATGCTGTTTCAATCAACTTGCCTGCAGAATGTTTCTAGAAGGATCTCAGAAAAGGTCGACAAGGATGTAGTCATTGAATATTCAGCAGGAATACGTCAATAGCGAAAGCGAAGATGGGCGACAGGGCGTCATGAGCGTGGAACTATATACATACCCAGCCCTCTACATTCTGTCGTCGAATGCCTGTACTAGGATCAAACAGATTGCACGACAACATCGATCTTCTGCATTTCCTGTTGGCCATCTGGAAGGACCTCGCAGACATGCATACTTATAACAAGGCACGCCGCAAGCACGAGACCTCTGAGCCCGCAGGCTGCTTGTGCTGAGGAACTGCCTATACGATCGCCGACAGTGATTTAAAAAGCAACTTCGCAACGATCTACAGAGCTTTAGACAACAAAATGCCACTGCCTGTTGTTTCCATCGACTTTATTGGTCATGAGAGATGCGATGGTCATGCGTGTCGTCTTCTATCTTCACCTATCCTCTCACCTCGCGAAGCCACTGCCACCAGGGAGCATTTGTCAAGAGCAATACGAGGAGAGAATAGATGAGGATAACCGAAAAATACCAGGCGTGCCGAGCGATAGAGTAATGTCTAAACCTGTGATGGCGAACGACCAGCAATCCTTTCCCGTATTTTCCCACAGAAAAATATTTTCATACCACCTTGCACTCATGCCACAAGGCAAGACTATCGTCTTTGTTGTCTGATCAAGCTACATGCCACTGTTACCTGCTCGCTCTTATACCGCATCGTCATCCACGTGTCACTGATTCAGACATCACACGTGCAGTGGACAGAAAATTGTTTGAGTATATCTTCATTAAGTTTAATCTGAATATACAAGAAAAAGGTTTCATGCCCTGCCGATGCAGGCGTGGTATCATATTCGCAGCACAATTTCATCCATCCCTTCATCAAAACACCTTCCCGGTACGCCAGCGCCATATCAAAGTGCGCCAAACTCATGTACACATGCATCGTTTTACTAGTATCGCAGCTGGTCTGAAAGAGATCCGTCAATCTCTACTTAAATCCGGAGTGGTCCCCGAATTTAGTAGCGGTTGCGCTGCCACCAGCGGCGACGGCGGTAGGGAGTGTGCGTGGCGGGAGGAGAGTAGTGGTCGACCTTGGACCTCTGCTGGCGGCGCTTGTGCAGACGACCGCTGCAGCAGGTGAAGAAGACGACGATCGTGCCGAGGAGCAGGCAGATGGCGGCAGCGAGCAGGGTCCAGAGGGCGACGTCGAAGTGGGCGTAGCTGTCGCTGGCGCCGCCGTCGGAGTCGTCGTTGACGTTCTTCTTGATCAGCGCGAAGCCGACCCAGTCGCAGATGAGGGCGACGAGGGTGATGATGAAGGAGGTGCCGGCGACGAGGGCGGCGAAGAGGGAGCCGAACATGCCAGCGCCGACGGAGAGGACGAAGGCGATGAAGGAGACGGCAGCGGCGATGGGGTGGAGGATCATGACGCGGGTCAGGGCCTCGGAGGTGTTGGAGGAGTAGGTGGAGTAGTTGGTGCCGTCGGACTCGGAGACGATCTGGGCCGGGTCGTAGCCGATGCGGGCGGAGGGACAGCGGTCGGAGCCACTTGGATATGTTAGTGATAGGGTTGTCGACTTGAAGATGAGGTCGACTTACTCTGCGTTGGCGCCGCGGATGCAGTATCCGAACGTGCCAAATGTGATCTCGTTGCCGGCGGAAGCATCACCAAGTTTCACGGTCAAGATGGAGATGTTGTTCACCACCGGCGAGGAGATGCTGGTGATGACCAGGAGGACCGTTGCTACGAGGAGCAAGAAGGTACCGAAGTGGTGGATAAAGCCTGTGACAGCCATGGTGATGGTGTTTTACTGCCGGCTGGCTAGTGTTGAAGGGTGTGGTGGTTGTTGATTGGCGTTAAGCTATATTGAACGAGACAAGTGGCGATGGAATATAGAGCGGATGAACATGTTCGTGAAAGGGAGGGCGAAGCCGTCCGCATATAAGCACCACCGTCTCAGGACCCCCCTGAGTAGAGCCACGAAGCAGGAATCTGCATGATGTGCGATGATCTGTGACTGCGACCACGCTGGGCACACGCTTCGGGGCCAAGAATGCCGTGTAAGTCAGGGTCTCGACGCAGCCCAACGGATGCGACGTCATCATGGTGGCCGTGGCCGAGCCTGGCCCTCCATTCTGGTGGCTTGACAAAATGGAATGGACCCTTGCTTGCGCAAACAGACCCCCCGCGCCACGGTTGGTCGGCTCGACTAGTTGCTAGGCTCCTCCGTGAGTGTTCTTTTCGGTTCGAGCCAAAAAAGCTGGTGATGGTGGCTTCTCTCAGCGGGTGAACGTGGCACTGGGGGTGACGTACTAGCGACTTCGCGAATCTGATTGGTCCGTCGCGGCGTTGCTTGCCGATCTAGGGTATTGCAGGTTGCAGGTGTTCCTTGTTTTGTGGCCCTGGAATGACGCCACGCCCTGAATGAACCCCGGCACTGGTAATCCAACTTCAACGTCAGAGACGTTGGGCCAGCTGACTGCCGTTAATTGCCAATTCAAGACTTTTCCTCGGAGTGCTACATGCAAGCCGTCGTCAGTCGGGAACACGACGTTGTAGCGCTAGCAAAAGCCTCCAGAGACATCTTCGTCATTGTCGACTGGACTTTCCTAGGTTTGGCAATCTGATGTCGAGATGTCAAATGTCGTTCCTGTTCTTGGTGTGGCTCGTCCTGAACATCTCCAGGACCGACAGCTCAATGCATCGCCCACGCTCGCATAATTTAGGTTATGCAGCCGAAACATTATCAGTTCCGTCCGATCATCTGAGCCAATCCAAAGTCTTTCTGGAGATTTTCTGCCATCCCATCTCCTTAATGAGCCTCCTGCCGATTGCCAGTTTAGTCGGGAAATATTGTTCCCGTAATTCGACACGTCTTGGCGACAGCGCCAAACTCCGATCAGGCTGAAGGGCCGTTGCAATTCCTCAGCCTTAGTTTCCGGGAGCGGCGATGCGTTCTGTTGGAGACGCGCAATCGGCATGATGGTGCGATGGGGCTGAGGCAGTAGCAGATACCGTTGTCGGCCGTAGTTGGGCTATGCAAGTCCCACACGAAGCAAAAGAAAAGTCTTTCGGCCGCGTGTGCACGATCGGCACCATGTTCAACCATCCCGTGACTTCTCTCGCAGCTGCAAAAGACCATCCATGATGGGCGGCGTAGCGTTCCGTCTCTCGCGGCGCTGGATGCGGTCGATAATGGCGCGCGTGCTCACATCCATCGACTTGCTTCCGAGGAGAATGTCCTCCCACAGCTGGCTTTTCTCGGATGCCGGAATCTGGCCGCCTGTCTCCCAGTCTGCCAGGCCCTCAGTCATGATGTTTTTCGGCAAAGTTTCCTTCAAGGTAGACATCATGGTGGTCTCCCGACGAGACTCGGGCCAAGGGCCGTGAAGAGGCGAAGACCTGATGGCAGCCGCGTGGATGTACGACTCCGCCGGGAAGATGTGCACCGTAAACTCCTTGTGATCCTCCTCAGCTGCGGGGCGTGTAGTTTCGGTTTCGGGTGCGCTCTCGGAGGCCTTCGACTTGATTATCGGTTCGGGCGAGTTCGCGTTCGTGAGGAACATCTGGACGGAGCCGTGCAGTCGTGGTATCGCGATTTGGTACTGCAGCGGGCTCATGTTGACAAGCGATTTAGCCTGCGCCTTGTCGGCAAGCACTGAGATGAAAGAAGAGTTGTCCTACAGGTTGCGTTCAGGTTAGGAACATTGTCGCAAGCATGCCAAGATGCTGGAATCCTTACATTGAGCTTCTTGAACACCTCAACGCGGGCGAACTTTTGCAGCGAGTGCAGGACGGCGCGCCGCTCGGCAAACTTGGCTGGGCGCGGGGAGACAGTGACCTGGACGGTTCGAATGCCGAGCTTGTACGAGAGATCCTGGAGGACGGCATGTCCTCTGGTCGACATCTTGCGAGCTGTTGCGATCGAATGTCACATGCCTTTTGCAATCGCATGCTGAAGTTGAAGCTCCGCTCGAAGAGGTTGTCCAGCTATTGTGGAGTCCGCCACCGTGCGGATGCCCAGATTTGCCAACGGCCGCACAGTTTTCAGGCTGGGGTGCCCCGCCATGGCGGGGAGGGTTCGCTCTGCGACTGGTATCCTTCTAGAACAGCTTGGAACGCGCCTACGACATCAACTTGGGCAGCCTGCTTCGTGTTCAGATACATCTCCGGTAGCTGGACATTTTGAATATCTCGCCTATCTTTCACTGCATAGCTAGACAGCATTTCTACAGTCGCATCAAAGCTATCCCCGCACGAATCGTTCCACCAGACAGACAGACCGACTCGCAACCATGGCCGCCATCATCGACGCCGACGACATGATGGAGCCCACGCTCCAGTCCCTCCTCGACCAGCGCTCGCTACGCTGGATCTTTGTCGGTGGCAAGGGTGGTGTCGGAAAGACCACCACCTCGTGCTCTCTCGCCATCCAGCTCGCCAAGCACCGCCGCTCCGTCCTCCTCATCTCCACCGATCCGGCGCACAACCTGTCCGATGCCTTCAATCAGAAGTTCGGCAAGGAGGCCCGTCTGATTGACGGCTTCACCAACCTGAGCGCCATGGAGATTGACCCCAACGGCAGCATGCAGGATCTCCTTGCCGGACAGGGCGAGGACGTGGACGCCATGTCAGGCGGTCTGGGCGGCATGATGCAGGATCTCGCCTTTGCCGTATGTCTTTCCTCCGTCCTCCTCCCTCGTAGTTAAACCCAGCTAACAAAACGTCCCACGATAGATCCCTGGTATCGACGAAGCCATGTCCTTCGCCGAAGTCCTCAAGCAAGTAAAGTCCATGTCCTACGAAACAATCATCTTCGACACCGCCCCGACGGGCCACACCCTGCGCTTCCTCTCCTTCCCTTCCGTCCTCGAAAAGGCCCTCGCCAAGGTCTCCCAGCTCTCCTCCCAGTACGGGCCCCTCCTCAACGGCTTCCTCGGCCAGGGCGGCCAGCTGCCCAACGGCCAGAACCTCAACGAAATGATGGAGAAGCTCGAGACGCTGCGCGAGACCATCTCCGAGGTCAACACCCAGTTCAAGGACGAGGCCCTCACCACCTTCGTCTGCGTCTGCATCCCCGAGTTCCTGTCCCTGTACGAGACGGAGCGCATGATCCAGGAGCTCGCCAACTACGGCATCGACACCCACAGCATCGTCGTCAACCAGCTGCTCTTCCCCAAGAAGGGCAGCAACTGCGACCAGTGCAACGCCCGCCGCAAGATGCAGAAGAAGTATCTCGAGCAGATCGAGGAGCTGTACGACGAGTTCAACGTTGTCAAGATGCCGCTGCTCGTCGAGGAGGTCCGTGGAAAGGAGAAGCTGGAGAAGTTCAGCGAGATGCTGACGACGCCGTATGTGCCCCCTGAGATGGACTAAGCAAGCATGCGAGGGAAGGTTTCGTTTGAAGGGGAGAGGGTTGTTGGTGCATAGTGGTTCAAAACATGATTACGGAAAAGGCTTTCACGAAGGGATGGTAGCATGAGGCGTCAAGAGTCACGAGTGGAGATATAGAATACATTCACAAAACGATTTGATACCCGGTGATTCATGTGCAGGAGACTTTATTGATCATCTTGAGTGCGTGTTGTTAGATACAGAAAGAGCTCCACGCTGAGCACACTGTTTTATGGAGGATGAATTGTCCTCGTTATCCCTAGGTGTCGATGCTCTCCCGCATTACGATCACACACTTTGCTTCCCCCAAGACCAGCCTGAGACCCCTTCCAGGCGGTAAAAAAGAAACCTCCCTCCCAATCAATTCCCCGTGAACGCCGAAGACTAATGTCTTGTCCAACTTCCTCTTGGCAAGTGAGGACATGAGTTGTGCCGTATTTGTTTTTTTCCAGAATGATAAAGCCGTGATGCGATGCGTGTCGTCTAAGTAGTATTACAGTTGAAGAGGTCGTGACGAATGTTGCTATGGTCGTGCAGAAGTCGCTCAGAGCTCGCGGTAGTCACTAGGCCTTACGCGACGTTGGCGATTCTGGTGGCGGTGGGGATTGACTGGTCTCCTGAAGTAGGCGTCATCCTCGTTGTTCGGCTGGGTGAAGTTGTGGCGTTGTTGGTTGAAGCCGCCGGCCATGGCCCCGTTCATCCCACCATTCATACCACCGCCGTTCATATTACCGCCGTTCATTCCACCATTCATTCCGCCGTTCATACCATTCATGCCGTTCATGCCGTTCATGTTTCCGCCAAAGTTACCGCCGTTCCAGTTGTTGTTGCCCATGTCGAAGCCGCCTCCATTCATCGGGTTGAAGCCAGGCATGCCCATCATCGGGTTCATCATGCCCATCATCGGCATACCCATGTTCATGTTGCCCATGTTGGGCATGTTGGGCATGTTGGGCATGTTTGGCATATTAGGCATACCCATGAAACCGTTCATCATGTTCATGTTGCCGAAGCCCATCATAGGGTTCATTGGCATGTTGCCCATGCCATTCATGCCGTTCATCATGGCTTGTTGTTCCTGCTGCTTCTGCATTGCCTTGGGGGCTTTGGGAATCTTTGGGTTCTCCATCAACTCATCGGCAGGCCGTTTCTTAGAGTTGGTGGATTCTTCGGAACCAGCACGATCGACAGGTTTCGCCGAGGCAGTTGCGGGTGTGGCTGATGTTGACTTGGGTGTGCCGTCGGCTGCAGGGGCCGCTGTGGTGGCCGGGGCGGTTGAAGGCGACTTCTGAGGTGTGGGTGATTTCGCAGTTCCGTTGGCAGTCTCCGTCTTCGCCTCTTCCGTGTTCTCTTTCGGCGAAGCGGCTTGAGCTGGGGATGCGGCCGTTGCCGTCGGGCTCTTGGCCTCAGTCTTCTCGTTCAGATACTCCTTGATCTTGTCTGCAGCCTCCTCATCAGGTTTCAGGTCGTCGATCAAAACGCCCTCGTTAGAACAGTTGGGGCAGACGAAGTCCGATTCGATGAGAGCATTTGTGATGCAATCATTGCAATACGTCTTCTGGCAGCACGGGGTCTTCATTGGGTCTATGAACATCTTCTTGTCGATGGGGCATTCCAATCCTCTCTCCTGCAACTCCTTGTCTCCCATAGCAATCGCCTTGGCAGCGGAGGCTGAAGACTTGGCCTTGGCTTGGAACTGTTCCCACGATGCCTTGTCAGGCTCAGCGATAACGAATTCTCCCTCAGCGTTGACCATGATACCAGAAGGTCTCTTGGTCTCGTCGTCGCCGCTCTGTGCGAGGGCGACTGACTTGTCAACGGTGCGCAGGAATGAGCGGGGGATACCCGTAGTACGCTTCACGCGAGGACGGTTGTCAAACTCAGGGTCATCATTCGTCGGGCAAAGTTGAATCCAGTGTCCCTTCTCTCCACAGCGATAGCAAATGTATCCATTGGGAGGATCATGATCAGGCACATTGGCAGGTTTCTTGGATCCAGGCTTGAAAACGGGTGTTTGGCTGTGGTGATGTTAGTAACTGAAGTATGCATTGCGTGTCCGGATAACCTACTGTGACATCTCCTCCTGTTGGGCAGACCAAGACTCGGTCTGGGCCTGGAACATGGCCGCCATCTTCTCTTCTTCCGTCATGGCATTGTTCATCTGGCTGATGGCATTCGACGCCGCCTTGGCCGTTGCAGACTTGGTCGTTTGCTCCTTTCGAGAGGAGTTCTTCGCGGCGACGGGCATCTTGCCGGAGACATATCTAGCGCCGCGGCCAGCACCGGGTTTCGCGGCGGGTAGTCGGCGAGCGACTACAGTCGTGGATCGAGGAATGATTGTCGTGTCATCGTCGTATTCTGCCCATGGTTAGAAGGGACTCATCACAGCAGTCGGGAAATGGGCTTACCTTCACTTCCATCCTCAGAGTAAATGGCCAGGTCGAAGTCAGTTCCGTCGCCAAGACCACTCTTCAGGATGATGTCGCGCTTCAGCTCGAACACAGAAATGCCGGTGCCATCGAACTCGACTCGCGTCGGCTCTTTTTGCGACTTGAACTTGAAAAAGACGGAGGAAGCCATCGTGTCTCGCGTTGCGTAGTCTGATTACGACAGTTGATCGAAGCAGCAGACGCCGACAGCAGTAATGGCCAAGATCAAGATTTGATTGAATGCGGCGATGGTGAACCTGAAGGGCGACCACGAAGACGCGAAGCTAGGTGAGTAGAGAGTGATTTGATGCTAGTATTTTTTCTTGTTGCCTTTTGAGTGATCTCTCTTGCGTTCTGCACCTCTCAAGAGTAATGGAAATCAATTCTGATTTACTTGGAAGAACAAGGAAATAAGGGTTCGTGGGATGTAGAGAAAGAGTACAATGCCAAAGAGGCCGACAACCAACTGGACGATAGGCAGCCCTTTGTGTGAATTCCTCCTCACAGCCAAATCACCTCGACACCGTGCGCACCATCAGTCGAGAAGCCTCAATAAGCCAAGTATATTTTCTCCTGGTCAGTATGTGTGTAGATCGAAGCGAGAGCTGCTGCAATGCTCTGCTTGCCAGTAGGGGAGATAACGGTCGGGGGTGGTGAAAGGTTCGCGTCGAGCGGGCACTTGCGTCGCTTGTCGCCGAGATTTCGGAAAGTGTTTGGTCGAAGGCTGAGCGGCAGGTAAAATGTCGCACAGTCGTACAAGAGCGGATCCCTGAGCAGGGAAAGGCGTAGCGATCGAAATGACGGGAAAACGGGCGACGTGTGATGTTCGTGGCAGGAAAAAGAGGAGTAAAGCAAAGGGGGAAGAGGAGAGATATAGCCGGGCTTGGGTTGCAGGCAGACATGACTGGCAGAGGAAGAGAGGGTGCTCTGGAACCCACTTGGTACGCTGCCACCTGATTCTGTAGCACTCTCTCTCGGGGCAGGTGGCAGGTCGCAGCTGGCTGGGCTGGCCGGATGGCACGTGAGCTGTCGGAGTGCAATTTCTGAGCTGGCAGGCACGAATTCCCGAGGGTCTTTTCCAGTC